GCTGAGAAGGAGTTTAATCCTAGTGCTGCATATCCAGCATACCATCCCATAAGCAGACTAAATGTGGTGCCACAAGTAACTGTCATCAATTAGCCATCTGCAGTGCGCAATAATGGCCACACTATGCTTTCAATTAGCCCACGTGGAGCTCACAAGAGACATGTCTGTCTTCTTCTCCCTCTGTCACTGCAAAAGGCCATCACAACACAGATGTGATGACAGAAAGATACAAGGAGCACAGAGGGAAGGGTGAGGGTGAACAAATGGGAGAGGATTATCTGCAAACATGTGAAGACTGGGAGCAGCAGAGATGGATGTTAAATGTGCCAATACACACAGACATGGGCCAAGGCAGACCTTCTACACCAGAACATTGACCAGAGCTGTTGAAGCTGCAATCTCAGATAAGAACCTCTATTGTATAGGCTGGCACTGATGTTACATGCTACAATCAGCAGCTGATTTCCCAGAACTGCCGCTAACATGCTCTATTTAGGATGGGAGGGAAATGTAATGCTAACAAGTCATTTCTCATAAATACACCACTCCTCCTCCTCCTCCTATATCCTCTTCCTGCTTCTGTCTCTTCTGAATGAAAAAAAAAAATCAATGTGCATGACATCTGTTACCCTACTCTTACATTACTCTCTCTCTATCTCTGTGTCTCATTCATTTTCCTTTAGTTTTTCTCTGAATTAGAACAGTCTATCAGAATGTTAATGAATGATTATATCAGTCAAAGTGATAAGTAAATCACACATTTAGAAAATGACACATTGTAGAGGATGTTTGAACGCATTTTAAACCCAGTTAGGCATGATGATGTGATATCTGCATCATATATTAGTATTAGTTTATAGAATTGGTTCTAGCCTAATCACATTCATTGAAAAACAGGAATTGCACGAAATTAGGATGTGATCAATAATAGTTGTGTGCTAGTTTCAACATCCTATTTGATCTTTCACTTGTCATCCAACTTATCTCCCATAACAAATTGCAGCACAGCACTGATGATGAATTTAAATAGGTGAGCACTGTCTAAAAACAGCAAAGTGATGATGGCTCTTTAGGGATTCTACAGTATGTGACTTATTCTGCTTCAGTTTGTCCACTTTCCTGATTATGGAGAGCAACCACCCTGCACTGTGCTTTCTCTGGACAAGTGAGGCTTACAAATCATCCCTGAAGCAGTTGGAGGAGTTGTAAGCACTTGGTGTAAGGTTTTACTGCCTGTCTTCTATGAATGGCTCCCTGAAGGCTTCTATGATAATAGCTGCCAGCAGTGGCCTTCATGGAGCCTGACATCAAGCACACCCCTACACTACAATGGAATGGCATATCACCTTACCCAACAGGTGTGATACTGTATCAACTCATCCACTGGTTTCTAGTCATAAAATAGGCAGAAGGTGAAATTAAATAGTGGCAGCTGGAACTTACATGTCAAGTTGAAATTCACTTAGGTTGGACGCAGGACGTAAAACTTTTTTATGGACCCAAGACACTGAGTTCTTGTAATATTGGTTAAAGTAAATGGGACTGGTGCATTAATGTTGACTGGGTAAACAATGGCCAAACCTTAACATGCTTGTAGAATTCATGTTTGTTTAACCCCATCTTTGTAAGACAAAAAAAGACAAGTTTATGGCTTCAAAAGGCAAAGAGCAGCAGCTCCAGTGCTGAAAAAGGGCATAACTGAAAATAATCATTAAATGTACTATAACATCAGACCTTCACTTTTCTGTACAGTTGATGGAAAGTAAGTCAGCAGTATCAGTATCTGATATCTCTGATGTATTCAGATATAAGCCACACAGTCATTTCAAACATCTATGCCAAAGACGCTCTGCACTACACCGCTCTCTCCATGGAGCTGAAAAACACAACATAAAGTGCTAAGATGACTTGTCTATTAATAGTTCTATTAATAATAAGTAGTCAGAAGATTAGGCATACAGCTGTACTAGTGGCACTATGTACTTAGGCAGAGTAACTTTTTTTTACCAAAGCTAACGTCAGTATGATAACATGTATAATTTATTTTAGTGTGAATGTCTTTACTTTTGCAGGTTTCTGGTTTTAAACAACAAAATTAAGTTTTGATCCGATGATAATGCTAAATGACAAGCGGAACATGAATGTTTATACATAATTTGACAATCCATCCAGTAGTTGTGACATAAAATGCATCTGCCTAAATGTCATATACAAGAAACTGACTTATATAATATGTTTGAATGAAAATTAATAAGAAGCTTTTTTACAGATCATACAGTAAATAAGGTAAGTACATTATTGTGTCAACCAAATAAATTTAAAACACTTTTTATCCTGTGCAAACCTGCAACACTAAACAGACATAGTGGCTGGGTGGAAAAACAAACCCCGAAATTGAACTGTACTCCCAGACATTTGTCTCCCTGTGGCCCACTGAAATTCAGAGCAATAATTCTGCCCAAGTAGTTTTTGCAAGGAAATTTAAAAAAATAAACAAAACTTCAAACAGTGTCATTTGGTCCCGATTACTGTAACCAACTTAATCAGAATTGGTCTGGGCTTTTTGGGGTAAGTGAGTGGTTCAAAAAACACACAAAAAAAAGAAAGGACATTCAAAAAAGAGACATTCATTCATTCAGCCAGCCATCATAACTGGTGCTACGGTGAAGCCAATTTCCACAAAGCTCCTAAGCTGATTGAGGCAGACCAAATCTGTTTCACCAGCTTACATTCCTTCAAAATGGCCATCTCACTTCCAATATCACAGGCTTTTACTGTTCCCCATTCCCCTGGCTCAGGCTGAGAGTTAGCAAGGCTTAGCTGGATGAAACACTCCAACAGCCCAGTTCTCCCCTGGAACCCACTGATATCTCTATAGCATAGACTCTCCCCACATAGCTACACTTACTTGGTTTATTTACTCATGTTATTATTTTCTGTCTGTTTAATTTCTCGGCTTTATTTTTTGTTTTCTATCACAGAAATATTACCACCATTAGGATGTAAATTGAAGATTTATGAGAATTCTGATGATTATAGGCACACAGACGCAATCTAATCACTGTGCTTACATTTACACATGCACACCTTGGCAAAATGCACAAGCAGCACTTAACCACAACATCTTCTACTGGAGTACATTAAATTCACACAAGGCCTATTTGAAGAAGGAAATTGGACAGATAAGAAACAGCTTTCTAAGAAAGGAGCTTGTGAGGGGTCCATAGAGAAAGAGTATGGAAGTGTGCAATGGAAATGGGGAAATGGTCTTTTTTTGTCACTTGTAGGCTTGCTCTTGTGTGTGCCACTGTACAGTACACAGTAGTATGTTCCTATATCTGATATTAATCAAGCCTTTGTCATTTACAGAGTAATTCCAGGCCCCAGCCACTTTCTCTTTTCTCACACACATACACACTTTCTCTGTCATTGTGCCACAGCAGCAAATATCCTGTTGGCCCAGGCTGTAGGCTGCTGGTGCTAGTCTATCTGGCTGTGGGATCGATCCGGCTCCAAGTCGAGGCCTCCCATTCATCTCAGAGCCATAAAATGTGATTAGTGCTGACTACAGCACTGCAGGGAGATGGGCTGATAGGCCTGAAAGCCTCAGATAGGCTGGGGTGGACACTACAGAAAGACAGCAGCAACAGCATGCTGTGGATTCATCCTCAATTTTTATGCCCCTTTTCTGTTTTCCTATTTTTTTCTCTATGGCTGTCTATTTGCTTTTTTTCTCACTCTTATCATGGTCAAACTCTTTCTCCCTCCCACTTTATTCCTACTATCTTTATATGTAACTGTTTTCAGATTGTCTCTATACTTTATCTCGCATTTTTTGTCTTCATGTCTAAGCTTATTTGCGCACAAATAACACAGTACAACTAAAAATACCAATATTTTCAATTTGACCTTCTTCTCATCCTTCAGTCATATTTAAATGGTAGAACAAGTCTCCGGCCACCTGAAATCAAACTCACTGTAGCTACATACTGTACAGTGTATCTCTGTGGCATGTGACCACCTCTGTCAGCCAGTCACAGAGCTCAGAGCTTGCCAGTGGCAGAATCAAGCTCAGAGGCTGTGACAAGACGTGAGAAGGAAACGAGACTCTTTCACATCTGAGGGGAAACAACTTTGGTGGTGTTACTGGCACAAATTTCTAGTACACCAAGACATCTTAGAGGACATTTGTATGTGTCATAAGAAATGCCATTTCATCCCAACTAAAAGGCACCAATATAGCACTACAATGTTTTAAGGTACACAGAAGACAAAAAAAAATTCTGAATACATTATACTAATACTAATGGTTAATTTCAGACTACATTGGCTCGAGACAAGTTTACTTAGTTAATAATCAAACACTACACTGCTTACACTAATGTTAAAGATATATAAATGTATTTTGTAAGTCTAACATAGCCTACATAAAGACTGTACAGTATATTGTTAATTGGAGGATGAAAGTAAATTCATTAACACTGGCCACTTTAGAGAATAAATAATAGTAATGTAGTTAAGATGCACAACGACCATGAATGTTATAGTGTGCTTATGTAAATACAGTACAGGTTTTATGCAAGTTGCTTGATCTTAACAAAGCTACAGTATGTTGAGCAGAGGATGTTACTGATATGAAATAATGTTATCTTTAGGTGTGATAGTTTTATGATGTCAGTTGTTATAACTTGTATAGTACATGAAACTAACCAAACAGATGATTGTTTTTAAACTAATACATCACATTTTTATAAGTACATCTAATATACAGTATATAATAAACTGAATAAATATGTATTACTCATACATCTACAATACATATACATCAGTAGGGCCACACCAGTAGTAATTGGCAAGGCACTAGAATACATTCATTTTATCAGCACTGATAAAAAAAACATTACACTTGATATTTTTTGTCAGACTGCACCATTTTAGCACCCTGAAACCAAAGACTTTGTTATGGAACATGACACTATACAAGACCACAGCATACCGACCTGTGTCTCGCGGACATTCTCCACTGTGAAGTTGAACCATACTCTGAAGCGGGGGTTGCAGGTGTCAGGCCGGATGAAGAGGTCAAACTCAAACTCACTGATATAGTCAACACGGCCAAGGTTCCCTACAGAGACAGTGAAACAGCTTACATTAGCATTAAGAGAAGTTGAGCAGTCCACATCACAGAATCACAGTGAATTCTTTCCTCTGTAGTCCTTAAAGTTCTCACTCAGTTGACTTAAAATATTAAATATATGCACTCACAAGCCGAAATAATGCAAAAATACAACATGGCCTTACTTCAAATTAATGAGATGCTTACAAAGACAGACATTAAATCAATATGTCACAGTCAAACGTCTATTCATTGGACATCACTGTCATATGATGTTTCAGCACGGGTCAGCCTGTTTTAATTGTGTGGAGCCAGGCGGGCATGGGTTGGCCTCTGTTTCCATCTGTTCCTAGTCGCAAGGAGTAATCATGCTGACTCGACTGCAGCTGGCCCTACCTCCACCCAGGGCCAAGTGGGGTCAACCTCTGCCTTCAGAGCTGGCTAATCAAGACACGTTTGGCAAAAATGTTGCGCCAAGGGCAAGTCCTTACACATTCAGCATTCACTTTTTATCCGTTATTTCATTGCAGCAACTATTACAAATGGAGTCTCTCACTTGGTCATCTGATGAGGGGTTAAAGTAATGCCTAACACCAAGAGATCCATGTTGCAAACTAGTAACACCACTCTAACACTATGAGTTATGTGTCACTTCTCAGTGACTCATGCCGCCCCCACATGATCACCCTTTTATGGTGCAGTGGAGAAACAACCACACTGGCTCAAGAGAAGCCTCAGCTCGGCAGGGCTGACCCTGATGGAAAAGCACTTATAGTGGTGTTTTTCCTGTTTTATCACTGTATATATCGGCACATTTTTCTACATAGGTAGATCTCTCAAACCAAACCACAGAAAACAGCAAGTATGAGGAGCATTAAGACCAAGAGACAGGGTTGTTCCAGCCATCCATATCTGACACATAATATACTATCCACAGCAAAAAAGCTCCAGATGATGAGTGGAGGTATAATTAATCCAATGGGAACTATTTTCCTGCTTCCAATTCTCAAAGCTGTCTATAGGTTGACAGGGTAGTACATGACTACATGAAAAGCATTCTAAATATAGGCTTTGTCTGTGTCTTCTGATTTATATGTAGATGCAGTTGGAGAGTCTTGTTACGCACATATTCATTGTCAGAGTCAAAGCAAAGAGATGGGGGGAAAGTGAGTTAAATGTGTTAGCCTTCTCACTGAGCACTGGAAAAGCTTATGTTACCAGAATGATACGCTTAACCAAATAAATGAGGCCAGTCAACTCTGACATTTTAAATGCTGAACTGAAATCCTATATAAGACCAGCATCTGTTCAGGAATTAAATTCACTGGTAAACTGGGCAGATCACGAGGCTCAGTGTCCCTCACAACTCTACATCAGGGCACTGATGACCACCTGGCGGCAGGTAGCACCATAGCAGCAGCATGCACACACAGACACAGATGATTATAGACAGATGGGCTAACTACCACACTGTCAAAGTAGATCCCTCTCCTTCTGCCATCGGACAGAGCTAATCAACGAGTCAGTATGCAAAACACAGGCACACACATTTTCCTCTGCTCCTCTGAAGCGTTATTATTAGTTTAGAAAGGACTGCAGAAAACTACCAGGTGCTCTGAAGTATAAACAGCACCAGTATTTAAGTTTTAAATTTTATGTTTAAAGTGGCATTTTCATTTACAACACAGCATGCAACAGCAACACACAGGCAATGAGAAAGAAACAGCTAGACATTACTGTATTGTGTATATAATCTGTATGATCTGTATTTATATTGGAAGCCCAGCCACTAACATCCTCCGCTTCTAGCACTAATGGTGAGTGGCATCTCATTCCAGCACTCTGGTGCCTGGAAAAATTCCTCTCTGCAGACTGACTCTGATTGATCAGGGAGTGGCTGGGCAATGCTGAAATATGTAGCTGTTGCACCTCATCTACAGAACTCATTCAAAAAGCATATACTGTATAACATAAAGTAACATCAGACACACAAAAAGGCAAAGGTGCTGTGTGGGAGAGGGAAAGGGGCTCTTTTGGATAAGTGACCTTTGCCATGTATACAGTAAATTGTTATGATTGCTCTGGTAGGAAGGTGAGCGAGTAAAAAATGACGGACCCAGGTAGCTGACTTCGGTGCAAGAAGTGCTCAATTTATTTACAGTGACGATAACAATTATGTGTACAACCAGGTGAAGGAATACGGAGCAGAACCGGGTGTCGAGCGGCAGTCATGGAAAACATACAGTCAGTGATGAGATGATAAGGAGGAGGCCGGGCTGCGGACGCTGGGATTCACTCCTGGACTGGTTGTGGTGGATGGTTGCTGAGGAGACAGAGTCACAGAAACAGTTAATGGGAGACTGTGCATCGACCTGCGTGGTGGAGTGATGTGGAGTTGAGGAGGTCCGTGGTCCGGAGAAGCGATAGCGGCTGGGAAGATAACAGACGGGGCACAAGGCAGGAACGGAGCTGGGATGAAGAGCGTGAGCAAATACATAAAGTAGACAAAAACAA